GCAGACTTCAAGTCCAGTGGAATTATATTTGCTTTATCCTTGGTCTTCCTTCTGAGAAAAGATTTCGTTCAGTTAAATAAGTGTATAATTGGGTCAGAAGAAATCAGTAAGCCAGTTGGTAAGTGAATGGATTCAGATCATGTTCGATAGCATCACTCTTTTTGGTGGGTAGATGTAGCCTAAGATACGTCATACAAAGGTGATGGAGCAAACTATTTTTAGCCTCCTTAATGCTATGACATGGAATAAAAAGAGGGTCTGAAGTTGAAGAGCCAGACTGGCATTTCTCACTTCTTTGGGGCATGTGCTTAGATTCCACTTGAATTTTAAATTTCAATGAAATATATTATTTTAATCATCATATCTTGAATAATGAGGTCAGTGTTACGAAAGCATGAATTTTTTCAAATATTTTTGTAGGCTGTGTTATATTTTTTAAGATTTTTAAAAATTCCATTGAGAGGCTGATCTTTTGCCTGCCAGTGGGCATATATTGCCAATTTTTCCCATAGTGTTCCAGGCACTATTTTGTTTATTTAATAACCACTTGCTTTATGCCAGGCATAGTTCTAAGTGCTTTACAAATGTTAACTCATTTAATCCTCGGAACAATCAACTGAGGGAGATAGTATTATCTCCATTTTCCAGAGGAGGAAACTGGGGCCTTGAGACACTCAGTGACTTGTCCCCAGGTCACACAGCTGGTCAGTGGCAGAGCTGGGCTGCAGGACTTCTGAGTCCTTGCCCTTCGCCACCATGTTGTCTTCAGTTGTGGGGGCTATATATTCTAAACCAAGAGGGCAAGCCTACCATTGAAAGAAGCTTGCTAAATTTTAAATCTGATTCTGAATAGGTTCCCTAAGTATTTTGTTGCTAATCAGACATGGAAAGAAATGTGTAAATGTGTAAATTTTGTACTGCACCTTCTTTTTATATTTGATTTGCTAAGACACTCACAGGTGGTTATACTGAGTCTCATTTTTATTATTTACCTTCCCAAAGAGCTGATTTTAATATGACCTTTATAATGACCTTAAACATAAGATCAAACAAAAAGGAAGGAAGTCCTGGCTATATCTTAAAGTTTGAAAAAATATACTGATCACACCCATTAGAAGAACTAACAATTAGGGACTCAATAAATTAGTCATCTTGCATTGTTTTATCAAGGAACAGGTGAATTTCTATGCATTTTTAAACTGAATTTAAACATTCATGCCTAGCACACACAAGGCACCTTTCTAGATGCTATGAGATACAAAGAGGAATAAAATATAGATTGAACCCCAGAGAAGTTATCACCTGGTGGGAAGGCCAGAAGAAAGGTCAGTGCAAACAGAAGCACATGGAATAACGAGAGCAGGAGGCGGTTTATATGAAAGGAGCTTGGGGCTGGGCACAGTGGCTAACGCCTGTAATCCCAGCACTTTGGGAAGCCAAGGTGGGCAGATCATGAGGTCAGGAGATCGAGACCATCCTGGCCAACATGGTGAAACCCCATCTCTACTAAAAATGCAAAAAATTAGCCAGGCATGGTGGTGTGCGCCTATAGTCCCAGCTGCTGGAGAGACTGAGGCAGGAGAATCACTTGAACCTGGGAGGTGGAGATTGCAGTGAGCCGCGATCAGGCCACTGCACTCCAGCTTGGCGATGGAGTCAGACTCCATCTGAGGGGAAAAAAGGAAAAAAAAAAAAAAAAAAAAAAAGCTTGGCCTTGAGTTGAGCATTGTTGACACTAGGAATGGATAGGGGCATGGGGTTCATCCTAATATTTTCAACACTGTTTGAAAAAATTGAAGTACTTGGCCAGTGAAAGTGCTCAGAGAAACCAGAATCCAAAGCGGGAGGAGATTAACTTTGGGTGTTGCTGGGAAGACTGCATAGAGGAGATGGGAACTGGTGTAAGATGGAAAGAAAAGGCATTCTTCCCCTAGGCTAGGAGGTCACTGCATCCTGAGAGTCAACACCATCTGGAGAGGAAGGGAGATGAAGCTGGGTGCTGAGGAGGAGGAAAGGTTAGAAAGAAAATGGCCTGAGCAGCTCTATAAAATGATTCACTTCATTTCTTCATCATAGCCTGCTCTGCTGCTGCTTTCTCTTGGAAGATACAATCAGTTCTAGGCCCTTTGTAGGCAAAATCTGAGATCTGGGGTAGATACCTGTTTTCATTGAAAACTACTTTTTCCTCAAATTAACGCATGCAATTTTTTGCTGTTTGTTGTTGAAAACCAGCAGAATCTCACGTAGTCAGATTGTGGATCTTTAGGTATCTTTACACAGTAAAAATCCCACTGACCACTGCATATGAACTAGTATTGTTCATAATACTTCATCAGCATTTATTCCTTGAAAGAACATAATCATCTTCCTAAGACCCTGAAGACATAAAGACATCTAACTGAGCCTCCATCTGCACTCAGTGTAGGTCACTAACTTTACACAGGTTTAAACAGCTTTTTTAAAAAAAAAAAAAAACTTTAGTGTGATGCCATCATGAAAAATAGTTTAGTATGTTTTTAATCACAAAAATAGATATGATACTTGAAAACTGTAAATAAAAATATTTTACAATTCTTTGAAATTAAATATTTCAGACTGTTTTGCCAACAACATGCTCAATTCCCGATCATCACTCAAAGTGGTAAGTTTCTAAAATTTAGCACTGTGGGTTTTAAAGAAAGGTAAACATTTAGGTAACATAAGGAATAATCTATACTAGCCTCACTGAATTAATGTTTACATATCTAGAAAATTGACTGCTTTGTGTACTATATAATTGACTAATTTTTTATGAACAAGACCTATTCTCTTTGAATCTGGTATCTTTCATTCTAACTACACTCACAGAACCAAACTAAGACATGAGAAAAAGCTTCGACTTTTGGGACTGCTTCTCTTCCACAAGAATTTAAAAAGTGCTGCACCTCTCTGAGTGAAAATTCCTTAAGGATGTATGGTTAGCATTTCAGTTCTGATGAAGGCAGACTGGCTCCTTAACTGGAGTTATGGGGTACACTTTCATTCATGAGTGGAACAGCAGTGTCTTAGCAGCACTAAATCTGAAATGTTCACTGTGAACTGGAGTTGGGGCCACTTTGGAAAAGACTTAGTATTGCATCATGCCAACCGCATTAATTGGTGGTAAACAACACTCTCCAAACAGCACCTCTACCATCATTTTTCAGTCATTACCCTTTTAACTTAGCAGGAAATGGTATTACAAATACTGCTTTAAATCAGTGTTTATTACAGGGAAAAGCACCAGCAGTACACATTTACTCAAATCCTTGCAAACGTCATCTATTAAACATCTTCATCTTTATTAGTCTGTTTTCCTTTGGATATCTTCACTTATGAGTGCATTCTCATATCTTTTCGCCAATTACATTTGTTTTCCTATGACCCAATTTGTTCATTTTTCTATTCAATTAACCCTCTCCTCAGAGAGTTCCCATGTGCCCATTTTTCTACTCAATTATTTACATGTTTTGCATTAAACTTATAGTAAGTTTTTAAAAAATTAACCCTTTCTCGTTAAGTGCTGCAGTCTAAGTTTGCCATATCTTTTGACCTTGTAAAAACTTTTGGCATATGAGTTGTATATTTCATGTAGTCAAACATTAATCTTTTCCTTTATGGATTCCAATTTTTAAATGGTTTATATTTTTAGGAAAATTTTCAGGAATTAAAAGAAAAAGAGGAAGGAAGAAACGCCTCACAGGCAACCACATACAGGTAATTTGACTTAGTTTTTATAGCTTTACCTTGCTTCATACAGAATTCTTATTTAAACCAGTCTGAATGTCAGGTGAAATGTACTTTCCAAATCATCTGAATAGACAGCCTTTGTAGAACATTCCTCATTTGTGTTCTCAGCTAAGACTGCTCCTGAGTCTGCCTTTTTAGGAAGAATCCCATAGTTGGGAAGCTCTTAGATATTTCCTAGATGATAGAATCATAATGAGATGAGCATGAAAATGAATCTGGAAGTTCCAAGCACATAACCTTCAGGAGGTGACATTCTCCGAGCTCCTATAAAGCATCCCCTGGCACCAAACTAGTGAGAGCATCTGACCCCACAGGTGCTTACAGTTAAAACAGGCAGAGGGTGCAGTTGAACATCCTTATGGAGCCAAGTATTTCCCAGCTTCATGGCCCACACCTAACCAAATATATGGCTCTTATAAACTTCTGGATTATCATGCATAAGGTATATGAAAATATTTTGGGGATTTGAGCCGGGTGCAGTGGCTTACGCCTGTAAATCCCAGCACCTTGGAAGGCCAAAGCGGGCAGATTACGAGGTCAAGAGATCGAGCCCATCCTGGCCAACATGGTAAAATCCCGTCTCTACTAAAAATTCAAAAATTAGCTGGGTGTGGTGGCGCATGCCTGTAGTCCCAGCTACTCAGGAGGCTGAGGCAGGAGAATTGCTTGAACCCAGGAGGAGGAGGTTGCAGTGAGCCAAGATCGTGCCACTGCACTCCAGCCTGGCACCTGGCGATGGAACAAGACTCTGTCTCAAAAAAAATAAAAAAATAGGCCGGGCGCGGTGGCTCACGCCTGTAATCCCAGCACTTTGGGAGGCCGAGGCGGGTGGATCACGAGGTCAAGAGATCGAGACCATCCTGGTCAACACGGTGAAACCCCGTCTCTACTAAAAATACAAAAAAATTAGCTGGGCATGGTGGCGCATGCCTGTAATCCCAGCTACTCAGGAGGCTGAGGCAGGAGAATTACCTGAACCCAGGAGGCGGAGGTTGTGGTGAGCCGAGATCGCACCATTGCACTCCAGCCTGGGTAACAAGAGCGAAACTCCGTCCCAAAAAAATAAAAAATAAAAATAAAAATAAAAAAAATAAAAAAAATATTTTGGGGATTTGAAAGTTTTTACCATCAGCATGTATAAGCTAAATTCATATGAACTAGCAACCTTCACCTCCTTCTGTTTATATAAGTGGTGCTTGTCAAAGACTTCTTGATATTTTATAATACAAAACAAAAATATACTTGATGTTTACATCTACATATGAATATGGGGCATTTTTTTTTTTTGAGACAGCGTCTCTATTACCCAGGCTGGAATGCAGTGGCGTGATCTTGGCTCATGCAACCTCTGCCTCCCGGGTTCGAGTGATTCTCCTGCCTCAGCCTCCTGAGTAGTTGAGATTACAGGCACATACCACCACGCCTGGCTAATTTTTGTATTTTTAGTAGAGACAGAGTTTCACCATTTTGGCCAGGCTGGTCTCAAGCTCCTGACCTCATGATTCGCCCACCTCAGCCTCCCAACGTGCTGGGATTACAGGCTTGAGCCAACACACCCAGCTAGGGCATGATTTTTACCATAGGCATATCATTTAGTTATGCACAGCAAAAGACTGGTTTTCATTTTATGCAATATTAAAATCAATGTAATGCAATCTTGATTTTCTCTCCTTCTAGGCACCTGGAACAATGACACCTAATAGATTCGTAAGACACATGAAAGAAGAGCATGACAAACACACAGGTTTGTGCTAAGTGTTGTCTGTAACAAATATGGCCTACAGTACTTACAAAAATGTCAACTCATGTGTTTCAAATTTGGTATCCCGCCTTAATCTTTATTTTTCTAAGCTTGTAGTAATGAATAAGTATAAATCTTTATCATAACTATCCACTCTATTGTAATCCCAGCATATCAAGATAACTTAGGTTGGAATGGTCTGTTGCCTTCAGTATTAAGAAAAGATAGACTTCTTAATGAAGACGTAGACAGGCTTGCCTGAGCTCAGAATTCAGCGATGTGTCACCCCCACACTGTGACCCCTGTAACTATAGCTATCTGCTCTTTAAAGAAATAGACATTCGTTAACAATACATAGAAACTGTGACAAAAAGTGACAGGGGCTGTTATGTCAAAGATTTAAAGGTAATTTTTTTAAATCCTCTTAATTCAACTATATAGTGGGTACAATGTACACTGCTCAGGTGACAGATGCACCAGCATCTCAGAAATCACCGCTGAATAATTTATCCATGTAACCAGAAACCACCTGTTCCCCAAAAGGTAGTGAAATTTAAAAAAATTACAGTTTTATGTTTTAAAAATCTTCTTAATTCACATAGTTATTGTAAGCGAAGAATTTTCACTTTTAACATTTCTTTCATTGTTTCAGCTGGCCAAAAAAAAAAATGAGGTATGATGAAAGTATAATTAATAGAAAGAGTTGAAGGTGCTATATTTTACTAAGTATGCTCATCTACCACTAGACGAACTCTGAATAAGCATAAAGTGATTTATGATTAGCTGCCCTAAGACTGTTTCCTTCTGAAATGTTTGTCTTATTCTTAGATGCAACTGTGAAAGTTCCTTTTCTTAAGAAATGCAAGGAAGCAGGACTTCTTACTTACTTACTTGAAGAAATATTAGACAAAGTTCATTCAATTCCAGAAAAACTCATGGATGAGACTACTTCAGAAGCAGGTACTGATGAATAGCAATATTTCTAAGTATAGAGACTTCTCCCAGACCTAGGTGTAAAACAAAACAAACCCAAGGAGGGGAAAAAGACCTATTTTCTTCGTATACTGCTTTTTTCTTCTTCTTTACCTCATTCCTTAATAAAATCATTGTACCAGATATACTGTCCTTCATAAATCAACAGGATGTGGATAATTTACAAACTCCGTAATTTAGTCAAAAGTACCCTGATGCCGTGAGAGTTGTGGTCCATTTTCCAGAGGCGTCTAACAGGTTGGCCACTAAGAGAATGTGCCATTCAGAGATTGATTTGGCCACATATGCTCTTCTTCCACCGCCCTGCACTCCTGTTGCTAAGATCTGAGAACAGTGTTATGGTACAGTTTTGATTTGGCTCAAATTCTATTCCTTAATAAGCCAAGTATCCTTTATTAAATAATGCTAACTCAAAGTTTAAAAGGAATTTTAAAGTTTTGATTGATGTTTGGTTTAAAGATGAACTTTGTTAAAGAAGTTTCTTTCTTAAAGAGATCCTGGGGAAGCCAAAGTTCCATTTGTACCTGCAGGTATATAGCTACTTAGCTTTTTTTTTTTTTTTTTTTTTTTTTTTTTTTTTTTTTTTGGAAGTGGAGTCTCACTCTGTCTCTCAGGCTGAAGTGCAGTGGCATGATCTCAGCTCATTGCAACCTCCACCTCCTGGGTTTAAGTGATTCTCCTGCCTCAGCCTCCCAAGTAGCTGGGATTACAGGCATGTGCCACCATGCCTGGCTAATTTTTCTATTTTTAGTAGAAATGGAGTTTCACCATGTTGGCCTGACCTCAAGTGATCTGGCCACCTTGGCCTCCCAAAGTGCTAAGATTACAGGAGTAAGCCACTGCACTCAGCCTTACTTAGTCTTCTTATAACTTATATCCCATGAGTTAAAAAACTTTATTATAGGCCAGGCATGATGGCTCACACCTGTAATCCCAACACTTTGGTAGGCCGAGGCAGGCAGATCATGAGGTCAGAAGTTCAAGACCAGCCTGGTCAACATGGTGAAATCCCATCTCTACTCAAAATATAAAACTTAGCTAGCCAGGCCTGGTGGCAGGTGCCTGTAATCCCAGCTACTCGGGAGGCTGAGGCAGTTCTGGTCAAGGTTGCAGTGAGCCGAGGTCACACCACTACGCTCCAGCCTGGGTGACAGAAATTGTCTCAAAAACAAAACAAAACAAAAAACCTTTATTGTAAATATAGTTATTTTACAAGGACAGGCTGGACAGCTTATATGGTAGGCAACAATGTAAAAAATATTTGAATGGTATTATTTTCTATAAGGCAAAACCAAAAAGTGAAATTAATAGTAAACATTTCCAAGAGCTCATTTATTATACCATTTTATTCATTTATTTTCTCTAGATCAAGCACTTCCCAAACAGTGTGCCTGAGAATCACCGGTAGGGCTTGTGAGGACACAAATAGCTGGGCCTGTCCTACAGAGATTCTGATCCAGTACAAATGCCAAGAATTGGGGGCCAGGTGCAGTGGCTCAAGCCTGTAATCCCAGCACTTTGGGAGCCTGAGGTGGGCAAATAATCTGAGATCAGCAGTTTCCGGCCCCATCTACTAAAAATACAAAAATTAGCCAGGTGTGGTGGTGTGCAACTGCGATCCCAACTACTTGGGAGACTGAGATGTGAGACTCGTTTGAACCCAGGAGGCAGGGTCTGCAGTGAGCCGAGATTGCACCACTGTACTCCAGCCTGGGCGACAGAGTGAGATTCTGTCTCAGAAAAAAAAAAGAAAAAGAAATGCCAAGAATGGACATTTCTGACAGCTTTCCTGTACTGCTGCTGCTGCCATCTAACATTAAAGTTCCACGGTAGATGACTGCTATCTTTCCTTTCCCCTGTTTTGGATTACATGTATAAATGGAGGGGTTTCTACTTATATAAACCGTTTAATAATGAAAATGTTTTTCTCCCTCCAGACTATGAAGAAATTGGGAGTGCACTTTTTGAATGCAGATTGTTTGAAGACACATTTGAAAATTTTCAAGCAGGTAAATGAATTATATAATATCTAAGCAGCATAGTTGAGAAATATATCATGATATTGAAACAATATACTATACAGGTGATAAAAATATTTTAGAAGAATTGTTTATTGTTTTCTTAAATGAGAAAAGTCCATTACAAAAACAGTATGAGCCCTCCCCGTCCCCACAAACAGAGAGGAAAAAAATACATAGGTACACAGGCACAGACAAAAGGTACACCTGGTGGAGACAGTAGTTGGTTGTAGGTAGTTGGATTATGGTGATTTTTGTCTGTTCTTTTAGTGCTATATTTTCCAGATTTTCTATATACACACAAATACTTTTGTAATGAGAAAAACTCATTTAAAAAGTAGAGACAACAAAAAATTGATTCCAAAACTGGAGCATATTTTGGCCTGTGTGTGGCCCACGCAGGAGCTGGTGAAGCTTCCTGCGGCGTCTCTGCTCCTGGATGGCAAAACTGTGATAAACCATTCCTTCGCTTGGTGAGATAGGTCAAAATTTCAATTCTCCCAAAATTAATCTTCAAATCTAATTTAATTTCTTATCAGGGAGAGTTCCAACTGATTTAAAGTTCATCAGGAAAAAAAAAAAAATCAAAAAACAGCCAGCAAGAATAGCCAAGAAATGTTTGCAGGAGAAAATCTAGTAGGGGTTGGAGGAGGGAGATTTAACCTTCCTATTCAATAGTAACCATTTATTGAGTCCCCCTTTCAGCATTAAGATGCCCTCAAGACAGGCTATACTTCCACTTGTTTATGAGTCTGGTCTGACTTCTCTATCAAGGCTGCCACACACAGCTGGGCAGGCTGTGCACAGAGTCACACAGCATTGGTGTGGATGGTTCCCCCTGAAGTTGCACCAAAGAGCGCCCTCCACACTTCTTTTCCACAGATGTATCTGTCTCTCCAGCATATGGTAGGAAGACAACAGGCTGTCCCTGTGAAGAAGACATTAGTTCATATCCCTATCTCAACATGCACAACCTTTCTCACTTTCTATATTATACATTTCTAATTGAATTTTTACTATATTTATAACCAGCAGGAAAAACACTTTGAAAAATCTACCAAAGATAGTGTCAACAGTTTTTTGTTGTTTTGTTTTTTTGAGATGGAGTCTCGCTCTGTTGCCCAGACTGCAGTGCAATGGCACGATCTTAGCTCACTGCAACCTCTGCTCCTCAGGTTCAAGTGATTCTCCTGCCTTAGCCTCCCAAGTAGCTGGGGTTACAGGCGTGCGCCACCACGCCTGGCTAATTTTTTATATCTTTAGTAGAGATGGGGTTTCCCCATGTTGGCCAGGCTTGTCTCAAACTCCTAACCTCATGATCCAACTGCCTCAGCCTCCCAAAGTTCTGGGATTACAGGCATGATCCTGTTCTAACAGTCCTTTGAGGATGTCTGCTAATATATAGCATTAGCCTTATTTTTTTAAAGCAGGCTTAAAAATATTTTTCTAAAAAGTGTCAATTTCTAGGGGATTTCCATGTGTGTTTTTCTTTCATGTAAGGGAACATGTTGCACATCACTACTTGGATGGGTTAGGTGGGAGTACAGGTATTACAATATAGTATGGAGGGGGTGCCACTACTTGGAACTGCATGAAATTCAACTAAAAAGGCTTAAGCTGGGTTTCGATACCCCAGTTGATAAAAACTTAATTTAGCCTTACTAATGTTTTAAGTTAACTATAGGTATGCAGTTATTCTGAAGAAAGGTTTGTTTTAACTGTTCGATTTTGAGGCTTTTAAAAATTACATTGCCATTGAGTACTATTTATTTGTAAAGCCCAAGTATCTTCCTCCTAAGCTTTTCTGAGTTTCCAGTTAAAAGCCTTCCTATTTTTTTTTTTTTTTTTTGGAGACGGAGTTTCGCTCTTGTTACCTAGGCTGGAGTGCAATGGCGCGATCTTGGCTCACCACAACCTCTGCCTCCTGGGTTCAGGCAATTCTCCTGCCTCAGCCTCCTGAGTAGCTGGGATTACAGGCACGCACCAACATGCCCAGCTAATTTTTTGTAGTTTTAGTAGAGATGGGGTTTCACCATTTTGACCAGGATGGTCTCGATCTCTTGACCTCGTGATCCACCCGCCTCAGCCTCCCAAAGTGCTGGGATTACAGGCGTGAGCCACCACGCCCGGCCAAGCCTTCCTATTTCTAAATGAAACCAAAAGCTTTTATGTAACATTAAGAACTGGTGCATTTTTAGGAAGGATTTGTCCTTTAACTTGGTATTCCAGCCACATTCTCAAATTATCATCTCTCAATAAATGGATATAGTATATATAGCATGAGGGCTATACAGTGCACAAAAGGACTTGTTCTGCTATGAATGTACACAAAATCTTAAGTGTTTACTGAGCAGCTTTGTGTGTGATAAATGTTAGACTTCTGTCCTGAATTAGAAGGAGGAAGTGAAGGCATAAAGAAACCAGCTCCTGCCCATAAGGCTGTGATCCTATTAGAGGCATGAGGATTGTGTATCTGTACTTCCAAGTGAAAGAGGCTAGAAATGGTACATTATTTCTAAGAACACTACTGAATAATGTGAAATCACTTTGTTTCTTTTCACAGCAATAGAGAAAAAAATTGACACATCTCACCGAAGGCGGCAGCAGTTGAAGGAAGAGATTGAGCTACTTGACGACCTAAAACAAACTTTGTGCTCTCTTCAAGAAAGTAGAGATCTTATGTCAAGTTCTACATCAGTATCATCCCTGTCTTCTTAGGGATTACCATTTCCTACGCCAGGAGTCAGGCCAAATTGCAGTCAGGCTCAAAACCAGAGAGCAGGCTGTGAAATCCACACATCTGCTGAACTGGTCCTCTCCTCTCGGCCCGGCAGCTCTCCTCTGTTCTTGCTGGCTGACATTTTGATCAGTCTTCCCGTGTTCTGCACACTCTTACTTGCGTTTTCCACTCACTATCACATTCCCAGAACCTAGTATGCTCAGTAAATGTGAAATAAGTGCATAAAATGTTCTTAACCTTTGAGTCTAGTTACAGCCCACAATGCCTCTTAGATATAATAAATTTGGATACAGTACTTGTACCAAATTTGCCTGTCTTCATGTCACAAAGTCCGCTTTTGAAAAATCCCTTTTCAGCCAGTTACCACATGGGAATTCACCATCTTCAAAACAAACACCTAAATTTTAAACTGGACTCTAAATAAGAACATTACTAGGAATATGTAAGAATGAAAAAAAAAAAAAAATGTTACATTTTTCTCAACCTAACAATATACTATTCCAGTTTTTATGCTCACACCACCACATCACATCTGACCCCTGAAAACTTCACATTCACAGTTCTCCTTTTTTACCATGGTGCTCTGATTTGCAATACTACATCTCAAAATGGGTTTGAACTGAGTCTCCAGCATGGTGTCTGACATGTAATAAATAAGTACTTGAAAGGTATTTGCAGGAGATAAAAAACATTTCATGCCGGGCGCGGTGGCTCAAGCCTGTAATCCCAGCACTTTGGGAGGCCGAGGCGGGTGGATCACGAGGTCAAGAGATCGAGACCATCCTGGTCAACATGGTGAAACCCCGTCTCTACCAAAAATACAAAAAATTAGCTGGGCATGGTGGCGCGTTCCTGTAATCCCAGCTACTCAGGAGGCTGAGGCAGGAGAATTGCCTGAACCCAGGAGGCGGAGGTTGCGGTGAGCCGAGATTGCGCCATTGCACTCCAGCCTGGGCAACAAGAGCGAAACTCCGTCTCAAAAAAAAAAAAAAAAAATATTCATCTCTGTTGTAATGGCAGCCCTAGATTAAGTTCTTATTATCTTAGGAAGAAAATCTAAACCAGTGGATTTCAAAACTGGCTGCACATCAGAATCATGTGGGGCAGAGGTGAAGACCTTACCCAAGACCCTCTGAATAGATTTCCCCTAGTCTAGATAATTACTGTAGCTTCAGCTTCCTATCCTGACATTATATCTTAGCAAAGTTTATCTCACTAATCATTTTGATGTCATGATCTTTATTTTTTTTAAAAAAAAACCTGCTGGGCATGGTGGCTCACACCTGTAATCCCAGAACTTTGGGAGGCTGAGGTGGCCAGATCACAAGGTCAAGAAATTGAGACCATCCTGGCTAACACGGTGAAACCCCATCTCTACTAAAAATACAAAAAAATGGCTGGGTGTGGTGGCACGCACCTGTAGTCCCAGCTACTCGGGAGGCTGAAGCAGGAGAATCGCTTGAACCAGGAGGCAGAGGTTGCAGTGAGTCGAGATCATACCACCGTACTCCAGCCTGGGCAATAAGAGAAAAACTCCATCTAAAAAAAAAAAAAAAGCACCTTTGTCACCGACTTCACTTTCATTTTAATGTGTGACTCACTGCAGTAGGTAACTGCACCATGGAGCACCATGTGTTTGGTGGCCATGAGGCCGGCACATACTGGGCAAACTACTAAAGCAGACCCAAGTATGAACTTCAGCTATGTCACTACTGAGAAACTTTAGTCCAATTATTTAATCTGAGAATAATGCTGCCTACCTTATGGGACAAACTATAAACAGTAAATGTGAAGAAGAGAGCACAATGTCTGTTACTGTGGGAAATAAAACATGCACGTGTGTGCACACGCACACACTCCCCATCGCCAACATTTCTGGCTTGTGTTCTCCATTCTAACCAAACTTGATTATGGTAAGTTCTGGAAGGCTCATTAGCCCCCATCTCTAAGCCTTTGCTTGTGCCTCTAACTCTCTGTTTTGGAGATGAGCTAAAAGGACACTTTATATGTTCTCCTACCCAGCATAAGTGTTACCTTCAGAACAACTGCTTGTCATGTTAACCCTATTACTGTATTAGTCTGTTCTCACAATGCTATGAAGAAATACCAGAGACTGAGGAATTTATAAAGGAAAAAGGTTTAATGGACTCACAGTTCCTCATGGCTAGAGAGGCCTCAAGAAACACAATTGTGGCAGAAGGGGAAGAGGCACATCTTACATGGCGGCCAGCGAGCAAGAGTACGCATAGTCCAGGTGGAAACTGCCATTTATAAAACCATCAGATCTTGAAAGAACTCCCTCACTAGCATGAGAACAGCATGGGGGAAACAGCCCCATAGTCTAATCACCTCCCAACAGGCCTCTCCCTCAACATCTGAGGATTACAATTCAAGATGAGATTTGGGTGGGGACACAAGAGCCAAACCATATCATCCTATTTGGTTTTCTCTCATTACCTGTTAAGAATCACACTAAGTGATTTGCCATCCCAATCATATTTAAGTATATGCTTCAGTGGCATTAAATATATTCATTTTTGTGCCACCATCACCACCATCCACCTAAAGCAGCGGTCCCCAACCCTTTTGGCACCATGCAGTAGTTTTGTGGAAGACAATTTTTCCACAGACAGCAGGGGTAGGAAGGTTGGTGGGGTGGGGGATGGGAAGGATGGTTTTGGGACAAAACTGTTCTGCGTCAGATCATCAGGCATTAGATTCTTACAATGAACATGCAGCCTAGATCCCTTGCCCACTCAGTTCACAGGAGGGTTTGAACTCCTATGAGAATCTAATGTTCTCATGTTGCCACTGATCTGACAGGAGGCAGAGTTCAGGTGGTAATGCTGACTCACCTCCCACTGTGCAGCCTCTTCCTAACAGGCCAGAGACCAATATAAGTCTGTGGCTCAAGGGTTGGGGAATCCTCACCTAAAAGACTGTTTTCATCTTGCAAAACTGAAACTCTTTATCTATTAAACAAGTTCCTCATTCTCCTCTACCCTCCGACCCTGGCAATAACCATTCTACTATATAAATTTCACTAAGTACATCACACAAGTGGCATCACATAGTATTTGTCTGTGACTGGCTTATTTCACTCAGCATAATGTCCTCAATTCATCCATGTGCACCATGTGTCAGAATTTCTTTCCTTTTTGGGGCTGCATACTACTGATTTTGAGGAAAAGAAACAACTCTACATGCCTGTTTTAATCCTACTTTTGTTTATTAATGTGTCACTCTAAATATTACATGAATACAGCCTATACACTAGAGTATCAAACATTGTTCCAGTAAGAAGTTCAAGAGTACATTTAGGGCTATCTTAAGAAATATGAATACTTTGGCTTCCATTATTATATTAGATGAAAAAAATCAATTCACATGAGTTGTCACATCCTGCTATGATCAACAACAAAACCAAGTAGAAAAATAAGAGTGTTAAAAATAATAATAATAATCAAATGCTATTTGAAGGACTTGTTCTCTTCACTGCCACATACACTCATACAAATTACTTAGTAATCTGAGAAGCGGTCCTTCACTTATATTAGGAACTCGGTAAATATTTGTTGAATGAGTGAACTATCTATGGATATGAATCAACTAATTTGTGCTTTTTTTGAAAGTTTTTTTCAAGTAAGAGCAATAGTAAACACACTGAAGTTTTCATTTTGCTTAGATCATAAGCCTACAGAACAGTGATTGTTACAAATACCATCCATCATAGCACAAATCAATGTCCATTTCTGAACCTAGTAAAAAAAAGTTCTATCATGTTGCAGAACCAATTCTAACCAAACAATTCACTGGGCTTCAATCATCTGTGATATGGTCAAGAAATGTGGGCTGGGGCTACTAGGCTTGTATCTATTTCAGCACTCAATGAATTCCTAACTTTTGGGCCTCACTCCCCTTCCCACCACAATACACACACATTTAAAAATTTCCTAAAAATAGTAGCCGCAGCATGTCTTCACCCACTTGTAATTTGGCTCTGAAAATGTATTCAGGCTGAGTTCAGAAAAGAGACCTTCCAAGTGGAAAAATAAATTCACTAAAGGAGCTCACTCAAATGGAAATGAGTTCATGGACCAGAGAGCAAAGCACAAAACATTGTTCTTCAAGCAAGCTCAATAGACGCACATGATGAAACTCACTCTTACATCCCAAAGTTACCTTTGATAACCAGTTCAAAAAAACTGTCTTTTAATAGGATCTCTTCAGGAACACCATAATTTTGATGCTTTTTCAAGGTGAAATGGTGCTAAATATCATACCTAAGATGATTAAAAACAGAGGAAAACCAAGTGAAAGGTGATAAAGTTTCAAATCAGCCAATGTGTGATGGATTTGGCCTAAAGTAGATACAGCAAATTCCATTAAGTCCTGTAAAAGAGTTGACTTGAAGAACCACTTCTCTCAGTCATATATAGTAGATATGATGACTTAGCAGCCATAATTTAGGAAGGCAAGAGTATACTATGTACATCATTATTTTCCTCTTAAGTTTGCATTTATAGAAGAAGATGAGGGGGACAATTTAAACTTGAGTTCTCAAATTCTACCTTAATGAAATAAAACACCATTGGATAAGTAGTGGAGATTTTAATTTATAAAATATTCACCTTCATCAAATTTCATTATCAATGTTAAAAGTATCCGCATTATCAATGTGGATACTTCTAAATTACTACTCTTTATGCACTTAAATCTTAAGAGAAATCTTGGCTAACCCCAAAAATGTATCTTTACATAATTATAACTTCAATAGGTTTAACTTATATTAAACTGAATATTACTTTGAAATACCTTAAAGTTAAAAAAGTCATCAATAACGTGAGCACACAAACAAACGTCTGAAACTATTTTAATTATTCCTTCACAGTAAGGCTACTAAGCTAGCAACTAAGGCAGCACTTAACAAGCCCCAGGTCAGCATCTTTAATTCACGATGGGGCTTCTCCATTCCTCTCACAATTCCCTATCACCGCTCCTGGTGTCAGAAGATTATTGATATGTGGCCCAGGAGAGTTGCTGCCAACTTCCTCTTTCCACTTTCATTAGTTCCTCTAATAAAAAATGGAAGCAAAACCAAAAACGACTAAACTTTTACTCTTTTACATGTTCCAGCCCAAATTAAAGCAAGGTCACATTTAAAATACACTTATCTGGAAACAAAAGTTGTTTAAAATGGGCTCAAGAAAAGCCGTACACCCTTGATATGTTCCTACACAGACAACTGTGTCCCAGATGTTGAAAAACACAACCTGATGGTCTTTTACCTGCAGAATTACATCACCCGTAGAGCACAAACTGGACACATCCTCAACAGTGCCCCAGAGCACTCACACAGAACCCAGCAGCCTTGCACTTCAGTTCTTAAAGGCTCCACATTTACTGGCTTTAGCAATGAATTCCTTTAGCAGAGGGCCATCCATTTGCCAAAATGCTGCAGTCTGTGTAACTTCTGTCAAATGATTGATGCAAAACTTAAAGCAGAATTCTTCTAAATCCTGGACACACACAACAAAAATAAAAACAAAAAGGGCTTTTTTAGGCAACTTTGATTGAATGACTTCTCTCCAATCCCTTCACCCCAAATCTCTCACCCTCCCCCAGAAAAGATATTTGAGAGGCCAGACATCTAAAACTAGGCAAAAGGGTGACCACAGTTCGGTGTGAGAAAAACACATACTATCCAACGCAGTAAAAGCAATGATCACCTAACTCAAAGTGTGGCTCTTCAAAACACACACACACACACACACACACACACACGCACGCACGCACGCACGCACGCGCATGCGTGCACGCGCAAGATCTACAGGAGAAAAAATTTCCTGCATAATCTAGATATACTCAAAGACATTGTTGTAAAAGGTATAATGCCACTTCAGTCCATAGAATGTGTTTTGCCACATTCAAGACATCAGAGAAAAGAATTAAGATGTGGGTTAGTTTAAGAAACAGAAAGGTAATGAAGAGATACAGTCAACCTAAAGTGGTACATTAAGAAGAAAATCCCAGCCAGGCGCAGTGGCTCACACCTGTAATCCCAGCACTTTGAGAGCCCGAGGTGGGTGGATCACTTGAGGTCAGGAATTCAAGACCAGCCTGGCCAACACAAGGAAACCTCGTCTCCACTAAAAATACAAAAATGAGCCAGATGTGGCGGCAGGTGCCTCTAATCCCAGCTACCCAGGAGATTGGGGCAGGAAAATTGCTTAAGCCCAGGAGGCAGAGGTTGCAGTGAGCTGAGACTGCACCATCGAACTCCAAAGGCAACAGAGCAGAGGCTCTGAAAGAAAATATCAAAAAATTCACCTTAAATTCACTTTCACGCTCTCTTAACAATGAGTTTATTTTTAAAACCATGAAGATAACACTACAACTTCCACCACACTAATCTCTCAGAAAGTCAACCCCATAGAAGTATATATACACAGATTAGTTTTCAGTCAGACAAATGGAAGTCAACTACCAACATTTGGGTGAGTAACATCTACGAGTGGTAAACCAGAACCATTTCAAAATCAACCCCCACCTATGCTAATCCACCCTTTCATACCCTTCAAACTTTAATATAGTCTGTCCCTTAGGATGTTGGAATATATATTTATTAAATCAATCAGGCACCTGGAATGCATACAAAAACTAAATATATAAAAGGAAATCAAACTAAAAGCCCTTATCACAAATAGCTTGACTTTTATAACTTGGCAAGCTGGTAAGTTCTACACTGAAGGTCAGTACTCAGGGTTCTATCGAAGCAGAAGCTCAACAACATTTCCACTGTAGGTTTTGACTGCACATTTCCAGCCACCACAAGGTGGGAATGTTAGAAGGGGAAGGGACCCACATCAACATCAAGAGACCCCTTTTCTGCTCTCAGCACAGACCTCTGCAAACAATGATTTCCTTGTTCTAAGGGTCCTCCTGTCCCTGGCTAAAAGATGCCCTAGAGTAAACTCCAGAAACCCACCCAGTCACATAACCATTAAGAGATAAACCACAAGCCGGGTATGGTGGCTCACCCCTGTAATCCCAGCACTTTTGGTGACAGAGGCAGGTGGATCACAAGGTCTAGAGACTGAGAGCATGCTGGTCAACATGATGAAACCCTGCCTCTACTAAAAATACAAAAATTAGCTGGCCATGGTGGTGCGCACCTCTAGTCCCAGCTACTTGGGAGGCTGAGGCAGGAGAATTGCTCGAACCCGGGAGGCAGAGGTTGCAGTGAGCCAAGATCCTGCCACTGCACTCCAGCCTGGGCGACACAGTGGGACTCGGTCTCAAAACAAAAACAAAAACAAAAGATAAATAACAGCTAATGAGTACTTGCCAGCTGCTGCCCAAGTTTTTGTCTTCTAGGTAATTCGAAATGCATTTAGGATGTTAGCAGTTTCTGGATTCTTGTTTTTTAATCAGAGATTCCCAGTGGGCTAAATGCATAGCCAAGTGCTCTGTATATTATAGTAAACTAAAATGTGAAACTGGATAAAGCATTTCCTCTCAGATTATTATTCAAGAAAAAGCCCTATGCCTGGCATCATCACCCAATGATTAATAAACAGCTCTCAGGACTAAATTATATTCCACCGGGACATAAAATTCACATTTTAATATTTAGTAATCAAAAACAGAAAACTAGTTTATTCCCATATAACTCTGGAAGTAGCCAATCATAACAAAAAGTTCTTTAAACCATGTAATAAGTCAGATAAGAATCTTTAAGTATTAAATTTTAATCATATAATTTTGAATTTGCAGGAAGAATGCACTAAACTCTGGCATTAAACCTCATCACTTTGGTGTCTACTGATGTAGAATTCAAGATCTTTTTAGTGTATATGAAAAAATGAGTTTAAAGTGAGCTTATTCAGCTAACTGCAGAAATTACCTTGAGTACAAACTTTAGGAGGTTTTACACACAATATAGGTATACAAACGGTGCTGCTAATCACAATTCACTTTATTTACACTCGTGAAAATGGTTCTATCAAACTGCCTTCCCTTTCTCCTTCAATTAGTTTGAACTGCTGAGGTATCTGAGTATGCAATAAATATTCAAAAGTTCCAAACATTAAAAGTCAAACTAGCGAATAATGAAAACAATATAAATCTGGGTTGTATAAACAACTAATTAAATCTTGGTTGAGGCAGATCTATGTAAAGGAAGCCCTGAATGCATGTGGTGAGGAGCACTTGAATTTGCAAGTTCACCAGAGAGTGGCACAGTCAACCAGAACCACTGAGCAACCAGAGCCCAGGCTCAGTTTGCCTTTGATGAGTGAATTAGATAAATGCCCTTCTGACTTGACCCCTAGTATAGTAAGAATCTACATGATCTGTTCCCTTCATTCTGCAAAGGATCAAGTGTTAACAGCATAGGCAAGAAAATGGAACTCTTGCCCAAGTAAGTGGTGAACTGTAACAGGGCTGGTTACAGTTGACTCTTTACTTCTAGCTGGGCTTTAAACAAAACAATTCTCAGAAGGACGAGAAGGATCATGTGACCAGGAGATGGACGAAGTTACTGACAGAATGAAAGAGTTCTCTTACAGCCCAATTGAAAAGGGAAGTGGAGAGGGTATAAAAACAGAGGGGTCTAATACAGTCTTCTTGGTATTAAAAATTAAACTGTTTATGATGTTTTGTGGTGGAGTAATTATAATGTGGTTCTAAGGCAAATGAGATAAAATACCAGATTTATTGTTATTAGCAAAGCAGATAAAAATAAAAACCGCACTTCTCAAATAATTTCTAAAAGATTCCAAATCTTTCAACGTTTAAACTATTCCAATCAATATATATACTCTGGAAATGAGTTTTTTCCTTCCACAAATATTCTTTAGTAACAAAACAAAACCCAGCAAATTGATGGTCTTAATATCCTCATTTTTAAACATGCTAATGTAGCCTTGAAGGGAGTTCTTACCCAGTCCTAAAACTCCAAAGCTCAACTAGTTGAATGTTAATAATTTAAAGACCACCCAACCAGGGTGAGCAGGTACCTTGACATCACAGCTCCCCTCAAGACACATTCTAGATGACACAAGATCACGAACCACACCTAACTCTGTCCGACCTGTTGTTTTGTTTGCAAAAGAAAACCCTAAAACTAATTCATGTTATAGTACACTAAGTACAAAATACTCCAAACCAAAGAAGTTTTGTTTTGTTTTCAGAATGTACTTAAACATTCCACCATATGGGAAAAACGTAATTTATCTCATTATGCAAAAAAACATTTGTCAGCTTACTACTGATTGAAGACATTTAATTTGGCCCACCAAAAGAAGAAAAAAATGCTGGCCAGCAAGCTTTAACACCAAGCTATCCAATACTCATACCCCAGACCAACTTCAGAATTAGATTCCTGGGCTCATGTTTATTGCTTCCCTCCAAAACCAAGATCGTAAGATATAAATTGCTCAGCATGTAAGATTTTCTGGAAAGTTCTCTACCCTAGCTAAACAAATAATACTTCCCAACTGTTTAACTTAATATTCAAATACACATAAAAATCAAAAATTTCCTGAAAAGAATCAGTTACAGTGTGTGACTGAACCATCTTGAGACAATGTTTTATCAACATTTTCTCCCTTGATGTTAATATTTATTCAGGTCTGTACGAAAACAATATTTGCATGATCCCTCATCAAGTCCTTCTTAATAAAACATGTAGACCGTTTCATAATGCGTTCATAGCAAGGGCTCCACAACCATCAGCTTACTTTGAAACTCCTGAGTCTATACATTTTTGTTGCTTGAATGTATAGACATTTGCTTCAAAGCTATCTTGTCAAAAGGGGGCATGGAGGAACCTCAGATACTTTTGTAGAAAAGAGAAGAAACATTGGAAGCAGGTAGTCTCCATCTTCCTAGCATTCTGACCCACAGAACAAAGGCAAAGTCATCTAGTATCCTCAAGTTGAGCTTCTAAAAATAAAGAGTTTTTGCAGTTAATTTCCAACCTGACTCATCAGCAGCTTCCAATCAACTAACAAATACAATAAGAGGGCTTTCTTTTTAAGAGATGGCTGTCTCACTATCTTGTCCAGGCTGGCCTCAAACTCCTCCTAAACTCAAGCAATCCTCCAACTTCGGCTTCCTGAGTAGCTGGAATACAGGCATGAGCCACGGTGCCCGGCTATGGGTTTTAATTTTGTACCCCAGAACTTTGTTCATTTACTCACTGTATCTCACACTATTAAGAAAATAAAATGTAAAAGCACATCAGTCAATTATATAACTTGTATTACAACCTAAGAAATATACCCTAGAAAGAGGCCTGGTGTAGTGGCTCATGCCTATAATCCTAGCACTTTGAGAGGCTGAAGAGGGAGGGCCACATGAGCCCAGAAGAGACCAGCCTGGGCAACATAATGAAACCCTGTCTCTACAAAAAATAAGAAATTAGCTTGGTGTGGTGGCACATGCCCGTCGTGCCAGTTCCTCAGGAGGCTGAGAAAGGAGGACTGCTTGAGTCCAGGAGGTTGAGGTTACAGTGAGCTGTGATCATGCCACTGTGCCTCAGCCTGGGCAACAGAGCAAGATCCTGTATCACCAAGAAAAAAAATAAATTACATATAGCTTATAAACATACATATACACATATATATAAATCATATATATATATATATGCCTTAGAAATAAAGAAGCAACTCTTTCTGTCTTCTCTAATTTTTCTGCATTAAATATGTAATATTTGTAGGATTTTAAGTTTTTTTAAACTTTTTTTTTGAGATGGAGTTGTCTTGCGCTGTTGCCCAGGCTGGAGTGTAGTGGTGCGATCTTGGCTCACGGCAAGTACTACTGCCTCCGGGGTTCAAGTGATTCTCCTGCCTCAGCCTCCCGAGTAGCTGGGATTACAGGTGCATGCCACCATGCCTGGTTAATTTTGTATTTTTAGTAGAGACAGGGTTTCACCATGTTGGCTAGGCTGGTCTCAAACTCCTGACCTCAAGTGATCCACCCGCCTCAGCCACCCGAAGTGATGGGATTACAGGTGTGAGCCACCACACCTGGCCAAACATCTTTTTTTAAAAGCACATTTTCATGGTGAGGTATTTCAAATGTTTTCACTCATTCAATTCTACACGCATTTTTGAGTGTCAACTCCATGCCCACACTGACAGACTCTGGTATTCGGAGTTTTTCTAAAGAAAGTTGTTTTTTTTTTTTTTTTTTTTTTTTATCATGTTTATACTTAATATGAGAAAAATGAAAACTAGTAAAGGAAATGACCTGCTGGCACAGGAAGCAGCAGCAGTTTTCTGTTTCTGTAAACCTCCTAGGACAGATCTTAGCTGAAGGTGACGAAGCTTCCAGCAACTTGAGCCAAGACGTCTGCCTCTGCCCAGGTTGTTCTCACTGGCGTTAGTGAGCAAGGTCTGAATCCCGAGTATGGAACTCATGAACAGGGAGGAGGAACATGGAGAGGCCCAGAGAAGATTCTGACATCAGTCGCCAAATGGACAGAAAAGGCACTGACCCAATTTAAAATTATATCACTGGCTGGAAATAAAATCTAAAGAAATAGCATTTCTAATAAAGAGGTTCAGTGTGTCACAGGAAGCGTAGGAAAAAAAATCATACCTCCATTTTCTACTAGAAATGATTTACTTTGATCATCATTCCATCTGTTGTCAGGCTGCAGACAAAGTCAGCAACGTTTGACCTTATCAAATATTTATAATTATAATACAGCCTCAAACGAAAATAGGATACATCTGAAAATATCGTGGTCAACTGTGATCCCTAAGTGTGATGAAGTCCTTCCTCTGTTATACCTCAAAGGACACAGCTGCAGATCTTTGCAGGTGTTTGATAAATTCCTTGATACCAGATATTCTGCTTTGTCAAATGACAACGAAGTGTCTGCAAGAAAAGGCTAATTGTATCATTCTACATGCATACCCTTGCTAGACATTTTGAAACTCCAAGGCTATTGCTCTCTACCTTTTGTTCTCTCTGAAACTGTGAAACCAACCACACCAGCCTTTAGCTCACTGATCATCCTTAATGCTTCCTTTAAGGTACTATCTTCATTCAGTTCAACAAACATTTATCACTAGGTGCCTAATATGCGCCAGGCACTATAGTGCATGAAGATGAACGAAACAGTTCCTGCTCATCAGGAGCTTACAGTCTGATGCTTTGGTTCTTCAAAACAATGCACACAATCTTTCAGACTCCCAAAAGCCCATTAATTCACAGACTCAAGAGATCTGTGAATCCCAGATTAAGAACTCAATCCAGTACAAAAAACAAAAGGAGTCCACAGCAAGTTCTTAACAGGTGAATAACTGTGAGTTATAATTAGATACCGAGAGAATTACAGAGCGTACATAGATACAAATCATACGCGTCCCCGGCTTACAACAGGACAGAGGTAGGAAGACAGCAAGGTGGCTCTTGAAATAAACACATATGCTGACATTGAGAAAGACTTGAAACTCAAACATGCTGTTAGTCCAATTAGGCGTGGCACCTTATGTTCCAACCTGGAGCACCACTGCTAGGACCTCGGTTAGTTTCCTATCTTACTTAGAAAAGGAAGTAGAGGAACAATGACTTTTAAAACGATGAACAGGAAATTAAGACTAGCAAAGGCAGATTTCAGTTTTCAATGGATTTACTGATTCCCTAAACAGAAGTGAAGTGTTGGAAACCAGGAACTTGTCTGGTGTTGAAAGAAAAAAAAAAAACAGAAGTAAAGTGACTCATTGTTTTCCAGGTCTCACTTGTAAAGAGGGGGGAGATGAACACGCATGGAGTTAAGGGTGGTTTGGTTTCTGTTTGTTGTTTATGTTACCTCTGCATCATATCTGACTGCAGCAGAGAATAGCGAAAAGGCATTCTCCACAGTAATTCCTCTCTTGATAATGTGCTGACAAAGTTTTTTCAGTCTGTTTTCACAGTAAGATGTCGCCAAATCCAGAAGACCTAAAAGTAAGATGTAAAAGACTTAATCAAGTTTATGGTAATTTCCCATACACAGACATTTTGTTTTGGTGACCAGATATGTGTAGGTAAATTAGAAGTTTCTTAGTGGACAAGATTCTAAATTTAAATAAACAAACTCTCTTTTTAACTGCCTGCCTCCTCCACTTCCACATCTCTCCTGTATTTACTTTATACAATTTATTCAGTAGAATGAAAGAAAGGCAAAATTTGCAATTTCAATCCTCATTTTGTTTCCAAAATCCTAAATGCATTAGCAACTTATACTTCACTATTAGAAAATTAAAATAAGCCTATAGCTTAATACCTAGGTAATGGGTTGATATGACAGGTGCAGCAAACCACCATGGCACACATTTACCTATGTCACAAGCCTACACATCCTGCACATGTACCCCGGAACTTTAAATGAAAAAAAAAAAAAAAAAAA